TTTTTTTTTTTTTTTTTTTTTTTTTTTTTTTTTTTTTTTGTCTTTTTCCGTGTCCGGCAACGGATCGCAACCCTCAGTGTTGCCCCCGTACCGGACCAGGGACCAGCAACGGGATTGCAACCCTCGGTGCTGCTCCCGCGCCTCACTCAGCCAGCGAGTGGGAACCGGTCTGTATGTGGGATCCGAACCCTCAGGCGGGAGCGCCGCCGCGCTTCCCAAGCAGCGCACTATCCAGTGCGCCACCGGGCCGGCCCTGTGTGCTGGCTTTTTCTCAGAATCTTAAATGTACAAGTTCGTTTCATCCTTACAACAAACCTATGGGGTGAGCACCACCAATCCCTCTTCCAGATGGATCTGAGGTGCAGGGAGCTCAGGTGGCTGGGCTAGAGTGGTGTCAGACCTTGGACGCTGTGGCCACTGCAGTGTGGCCTGTGTCCAAGGCAGCTGGCTCCAGAGGCAGAGGCTGGAAGCGGGGGACAGGCATGAGGGCCATGCTGTGGTCAGGGGCAGCCCCTGCAGTCAGCCCAGCACCAGCAGACAGCCCCTGCAGGGTCTCAGCTGGCCCAGTTCTTAGCCTGGACTGGCTCCCTGTCCTCCCTGGCAGGTTGATGGGGACATCCCTCCCAGGGTGAAGAAGGATGCCCACGAGCTCATTCTGGACTTCATCCGCTCCCGGCCTCCGCTGAAGCAGGTACTGGCTCTGCACCTCCCCCACAGGGTCTCCCTGGCCTGCAGCCCGCAGCCGGGCACAATCCTGTGGCTGACCAGAGAGGTTCTTAGCACATCTCTGCTTTACGAGCGAGGCGGGTGTGCCTCCCTCTTGCCCGTGGGCAGGAAGGTTGGGTCCCTGCCGTGGCATGGTGCGTGTGGTCCTGGGCTTCACACAGAGTACCTGGGGCAGTGCTCCCTCCAGGTGGGCCTGCTGGGTCTCCTGAACTTCCTGAGTGCCCGACTCCAGGGTGGCCCCGTGTCGTGCTGCCTCCTATCCAACCCTGCGCTGCGCCCTTTCTGCAGGTCTCAGAGAGACGGCTGCGCCCCTTACCACAGAAGCAGAGGACCCTGCATGAGAAGATCCTGGAGGAAATCAAGCAGGAGCGGAGGCTGCGCCCTGTGGGGGGCGAGCGCTGGGGTGCCCGGGGTGAGTGGGGTGGGGGGAGCATGATGGAGAGAGGAGACCCCCAGGGGGCCCCAGCTGGCATCCCCCCACATCCCTCTATCGGGCTACAAGTCAGGAATTGGTGTCAGCCCCAAGAGCTCCTGCACTTGTGAAAGACAGAAAATTTTAACTTCTGAAGTGTGGACTTGGGGAATCCAGTGGCCTTGTGAAAGGTTTGATGGGGGGCGCATAAGGATAAATTGACCTTATCCCCCATCTGCTTCGCTGTGGCCTGTATTTGCCATTCTACATATTTTACAGTGTTATGACAAACTTCAACATTTAGAAGGAAAATGAAAGCAAAGTTTCTAGGTAGGGAAAAACAGGCATTTATTCAAATGCCTGAGACCACCTGATCTCCCCAGAGTCTTCAGTTCTAAATGTTGTTTGCATGAGACCGTGTGTTAGTCCATTTCTGTTGCTTATAACAAAGTACCTGGAACTGGGCATTTTATAAGAAAATGAAATTTATTGCTTACATTTTTGGAGGCTGGGAGGTCCAAAGTCCAGGGAATACATTTGGTGACGGTCTTGTTGGTGGCAACAGTGACCCAGGGGTTGGTCTCACATGGCAGAAATGGCAGAGCAGAGAGAGACTAACTTCTCATGTGCTCTTCTTTTAAAGCCCTCAGAACCATGCCCATGACCACCATTTTTAATCCAGTCATGTACAGTCCTACAATCTAATCACCTCTTCGAGGCCTGACCTTTCAATTACAATAGGATTTCTCACTTTCTTTTCACTATCACAGTGGGGACTAAGGTTTGGGGGGACATTCAACCCAAGGCAGACAGCAAACTCCAATCCTACTTCCTCTCTGCCTTTATGAGACCAGGTGGCTTAGGCTAGAGTTTCTCATTCGTTAAATGGCTGACTGGCCCTCAGTTTCCCTTGTGTAAAGTGGGGATTAAGCTAGATGGTGCATGCACCAGGCTGTGGGCCTGGCCTTGGCTACCTTCCACCCACTCATAGCCTGTCCTGCCCGGCTTCCCCTCCCCAGGGTTCGGCTCTCTGCCCTGCATCCCTAATGCCTGCTCCAGTGATGTCAACTCCACGTCCTGCATCAACCTGTCTGTCGCAGATGCCAGCAGCAGCACCCAGCGCCCACGGACCCGGGTCCTGCTTAAGGCGCCCACCTTGGCTGAGATGGAAGAGATGAACACGTCTGAGGTCAGAGCCCACTGAGATTTGTGGAAAGAGACCAGGAGGGAGGAGGAACGGCTGTGGCATTCAGCTGGGGGTGTGCACTGGCCAGGCCACTGGCAGGGGCCCCTGGAGGCTGCAAGCCATGGGCCCTCCTTTGAAACTCATGCCTTGATGTGGGGTTGGCTGTGCCTGACCTGGGAGCAGGCACAGTGGGGCTCAGGGACCTTTCCCCATCTTGGCAGCTCAGAAGGGTGACTCTGGGACAGTGGCCTCGGGCTATCTCTTCCTGTAGCACAAAAAGGCTGAAAATGGCCATGACCTGTCATCTCAGTGCTGGAAAGCTGAGCAGCCCCCTAGGCAATGTGAAAAGCCAGTCCACACGAGGCTCCTGCCCCACCCTCTTCTCAGACGTTGCTGTCTGCGTGTCGCACTTTTTCCTGGGAAGATCGGGTGAAGACCTCGGTGGTGGCCTTCAGTGACCCACTCCACCTGCTCCAGCTCTCTCCTCTCCAGAATTTCCCAGAAGGCCTCGGGGAGGGGTTTGGTCATTGAAGCACTTGCAGTGAACTGTCCCAAAGAGGGTAGAGTGGGCTGTGAATGGAGGACAGTCTTGTGGCCTCAGTGGACCCAGAAGCACCTGTGGGTCCTACACTGGGTCTGGTGGGCACAGTGGTCAGGGTAGCTGGCTCTGATGTGTCTACAGGAAGAAGAGTCTCCATGTGCGGAGGTAATGCTGAAGCGGGATCGCTCTTTCTCGGAGCACGACCTGGCCCAGCTTCGGAGTGATGTGGCCTCTGGCCTGCAGGTGGCTACCCAGACACCAGCAGGGATAGTGCCACCCCGGCCTTGGGCAGGCAGCACACACACCTGGAGGCCCAGCATGCAAGACCAGGGTAAGTGCTGCCCCTTGCCCCAGCCCTTCCTTCTCCTGCAGATCCATTTGTGGGCACCATGCCCCGCAGCCTAGGTGCCTGAGCAGGCAGCACCCAGGGACACGGGGAGCTTTATTGAAAGGGGTCTTTAAGGTCTTCTTTCATTACCTCAGGTAGACATTCCCCTTTTTCTACTTGAGAACTTTTTTATTAAATGAGTAATCCACATTCATTATAAAATCATTTTTAAAAATTAAAAATTCCCATGATTCTGTTACCTAGAGATGACCATTATTAAAGTTTGGTATATAGAAAGCTAGCTAGGTAGAGGACAGACAGGTGATCAGTCTTTCCAGTCCTTTCTTTTGTGAATGGAAACCTATGTCCACAGGGAGCCAGGTGCATTCATGCAGCACATCCCACTCCAGAACCTGGCTCAGCACCAGCGACACTTTCCCGCAAGCACCCACAAGCCCTCCTCCTCTGCATGTGAGGTCACTCGAGCATCCTGTAACTTTCTGTCTGCTCTCAGGACGATCCTAATCGGTGGTTACAACTCACTTTTCAGTGTCAAGAGGGCCAGACCAGGCCATTTCCAAACCTCCCTCTGGCCCCGGGTCCCCCTCCACGCCCTGCCTCCAAGTCTCCAGTGTGAGCGTGCAGGGCTGCAGGAAGAGGGTCCTCCTGCCTGGTATACCTGCAGTTTCCTTGGTTGGCTGGCCCAGCTGGCCCCAGGGGACTCCCAATGTTGGCACGTTCATGAGGCTCAGACATGAGGACCCTTCAGGGATCCCATGGGCCCCTGACATAGGTCCCAATGTGGGCGGCATGTTTTCTGGACCTTTTGCTTGGAAACCCCACCATCTCCATCGTCAACTTGGCATAGCCCTCCCTCACTACACCTCTAGCCAGGGGGTCCTGATGGGGACTCTGTGCTCTTCCTGCAGGTTCCTGTCCTGTGAGTGTCCAGTCCCAGCCTGACCCCAGCTCCCCCCAACTCAACAACCTGCGCTCAGGGGAGGACAGACTGGAGGCCTCTACGGCCCCTGACTCCAAACACCTGTGGCTGGTGAGTGGAGGATGCAGTGTTGTCCGGGGTGGCCTGGGACCTCTTGAGCACCCCTCTTCCCTTCCCAGGATGAGACACCAGCCTGGTGTTCAGGGGTGATGGCTGCTCCATTCCGTGGGGTGTGGCCGGGATTGCACATCATCTTGGGAAGCAGGTGGTGGAGACACCAAGTCTGGAGGTTGGTCTCTGCCGCCACCTGCTGGGGCATGTTGGCACTGCGGCCCCACAGCCAGAGAACCACCCTGCTAAGGGACATCTGATACCCCAAGTTCTCAGTGTGACCCCCAAGGGGGACATCTGATACCCCACGTTCTCAGTGTGACCCCCAAGGGGTTAAGACAGGTGATAAACCCTTATGCCCTGTGCCTGGAGGGCAGCATGAGGTGACCATTTTCTTGGGTCCAGACCTTGGCTCTGGTCTTGACTCTGCCACTGTGTTAGTTAACCTCTCTGTATCTCAGTTTCACCGGCTGTGAATTTTCTCTGACTTGTTTGTAACTTTGAAGAACTCTCACGTGGTCCTGAGTCTGAGTGTATGATTTTATCACATGAGCTAACAGGAGTCAAGGTGGCCAGTGGGCCACAGCAGGACACTATAGGCATGTGGAGGGATACTGACCACGTGGTTGTCCTCGTCATTTCTGTGAGGTTTCATCGAGAGGATCAGTGAAAACAGACATTGGAATGCTTTGGAAAGCATGAGTGCTGTACAGAGTCAAGCAGGCTACTGTTGACACTCCCCAACTGAATGCTAATGCTGCCTTTCAGCCCTGGATTAGTTATCTTTTGCTGCATAAAAAGCTACGTCATAATTTAGCATCTTAAAATAGCAAACATCTACCATCTCACGCAGTTTGAGGGTTAGGAATCCAGAGGTGGCTCAGCGGGGTAGTCCTGGCTCAGGGTATCTCAGCAGGGGCTGCAGTCTCATCTGGAGGCTTGGTAGGGGCTGGGGAGTCTGCTGCCAAAACGGGGCCTTGCACAGCTGTAGACAGGAGACCTCTATTCCTCACCATGTGGGCTTCTCTCCACGGGCTGCTTGAGTGTCCCCCAGAGCAAGTGGCCTGAGAGAGAGCAAGGTGGGGGCCACAGTGCCTTTATGGTTGAGTCTTAGAAGTGACACTTTCACTATTCATTGGGAGTAAGTCACCAAGTCCAGTCCATTTGCAAAGGGAGGGGAATTAAGACCCACTTCTTGGTCAAGGAGTCAGGAACATGTTTTAAAATGACCACAAGTCCCACATGTGGCTTTTCAGCTGTGAGACCTCAGAAGTGCTTTCTGAAAGGTTTGGCTATCAAGAAGCCTGTGGCCTCTGACTGCCCCCAGCGTCACCCACAGCCTCATCTGGGGAACAGCACTGCACCCCGTGTGAGGTCTCTTGGCCACAGTGTGGTCAGTGTGACATCTGTGAAGTTCAGTGGGGAATTGTCCAAATATAAACAGCACCATCAGGCAACTGGCAACAAAAACTGGAAACCAGAAGTGCTGACGCCCCAGGTCAGAGTGGAGAAGAATGCAGGGTCCCAGGTCCTACCCATGTCCGGCAGTGGCATGTGTTCAACACCCTAAACAGGAGCACCCATTGCAAATCTGAAACAAAAACACCATCCAACATCCATCTTCACAGCACCCTTGTAGGCAGGTGCCCCCTGTAGTAATAGGTGAGATTGTGAGCTCTCTGTGCCAGCCATTGTGTTGAGGGCCTTGTCTGTATTCTCTCAATGGAGCTGAAATACAGCCCCACTTTACAGAAGAGAAAACTGAAACTTGGGAGGTCAAATGCCAAGATCTGTGCTAAGCACTGGGGGGCAAACACAACACACTCTACTTGACCCTGGGCAGAGGAATAGGTGGTCAGGACACAGGAGGCGTGCCGAGCACACACCAGCAGACGAGTCACAGTGTGGGATGCACACTGCAGTGAGGGCATGTCAGAAGTCCCAGGACTTCCCGAGGGAGAGTGGATGTCAGTTGCCAAGGAGGAGGGAAGATTTGGGATGGACTCTGGTCACTTTTGATGAGCCTGTGGTGGGTGTTTGCAGCTGGGGGTGGGCTAAGTGGAGCGCCAGAGCTGGGGACAGGTTCGGCTCCCAGGACTGGTGAGCAGCTGCCCGTGTGTTTCAGGGAGTCACCATGTTTGCTCTGAATGACACCAGGGAGATGTGAAGGTCCTCAGGGAGGGACTCTCCTGATGGAAAGGCCTGGCTCCTCCCTGCAGGAGTTCAGCCACCCCGTGGAGAGTCTTGCTCTGACAGTGGAGGAGGTGATGGATGTGCGCCGGGTGCTGGTGAAGGCTGAGATGGAGAAGTTCCTCCAGAACAAGGAGCTCCTCAGCAGTCTGAAGAAGGGGAAGGTGAGGGTCTGCGCCCTGGCACGGGTAGGCGAGGACAGGGCCGGGCCCAGTGGGCTCGGCTCAGAGCTGGGTTCTCACCATGCTGTCCTCGCAGATCTGCTGCTGCTGCCGTGCCAAGTTCCCGCTGTTCTCGTGGCCACCCACCTGTCTGTTCTGCAAGAGGTGAGCCTCCCCTGAGCACAGTGGCTGTGAACCAACATGGGAAGCAGGTGGGAAGAGGCCTGGAGGCCAGCACTCACCAAGAGAACTTCCTGGGATTGTGGGCATGTTCTAGTATGTTCCACAGCTGTTGGGTCCTTGAGATATGGTTTGTACACTGAGGAATGGAATTTTAAATTTCATTTAATTTACATTTAAAGAGCTAAGGGCCTCCTTCAGCCAAGATGGGGTAACAGCCACCTTCCACCTAAAACAGCCGAAAGCAAACACACAAAGGATATGGAACGGTGGTTTTCAGGACACTGGACTTCAGATGAGGGCCCTGTGATTGCCTCAGGGTGCTGCCCGGAGAATTTCTAGGTCACGGGCCAGAGACACTGGACACCTTGAGCAGAGGAGAGACTTTCTTTTTTTTTTAAAAGATGACCGGTAAGGGGATCTTAACCCTTGACTTGGTGTTGTCAGCACCATGCTCAGCCAGTTAGCAAACCGGCCATCCCTATATGGGATCCGAACCTGTGGCCTTGATGTTATCAGCACCACACTCTCCAGAGCGAGCTACGGGCCGGCCCAGAGGAAAGACTTTCAAAGCAGCAGAGCTCTGGAGAGGGGCACAACCCCGCTGCTCGAAGGAAGCCCATGAGCATTTAGCGTACATGTGCTAGGCTGGGAAAAGCACCCTCCTAAGGCAGGGATTGGCAAACTACAGTCCATAGGCCAAGTCTGGCCCACTACCTGTTATGTAATACACATTCCTCTCAAGTGCATGTGGAACATTCACCAAAGGAGACCATATTCTGGGCCATAAAATAAGCCTCAATAAATTTTAAAGGATTCAAGTCATACAAAGTATGCTCCCTGACCACAATGAAATAAAATTAACCCAGGGGCTTGTCCATGGGAAATTAATGACAGGACACCCATTGGAGAGAACACAATCCCTTGTTTTAGAAAAGGAGTTTGGGCAACTTGTACTAATGTGGAGAAGAGCCCCTGAGTATCTTTATAGAATAGTATGCATCATACCTCATTTTATTCGTGAAATTATGTATATTTTTGCTTATATGCTTAGAAAAGTCTGGAGGCAGGGATAATGTCTGAGGATGGGGCTGTCTAAATTGTAATTCGAATGTTTGAATTTTTACAAGAAGGCATTTACTCTTGAAATTGAGTATGAGAATAAAAAAAAGTTAATCACTTCTTAAAACTGAGCATCTCTCCAGGCTCCTCTAGCTGAGAAGTGTCAGGCACACAAGGTAGACAGTACAAGAAAACTCTGGACCAGATATTCCTGAGAGAAAGCTGAAGTATTTTGGGTGGAGAGCTAAGTAAAAAGAAAAGCAAGATTTTGGATTAAAGTGAAAGAAAAGTGCTGAAGTGAGGGATCAAGCAGCAGACAGCAAGGATGGTGTGACCTGGGGAGGGGGCAGGATGTGGGGCCACACTGGTTGTTTCTCTGTGAGCCTCTTCACCACTGATACTCTTGCTCCGTTCCCTTCCAGAGCTGTCTGCACTTCCTGTAGCATGAAGGTGAGGACCATTTGGGATCTTTGGGGTCCAAGCAAGGTAAGACATGGCCCAGCTGTCTCCCCGTGGATGATCCCACCCTCACTAGACCTCGTCTGTCTTCCTCCAGGCAGGGTTCATCCCTGAAGCTTTTAAAGACCCTCGGAGGTGGTCTTTTTTATTTTTTTAATAACATTTTAAGTTAGTAGGCTGGTGCCAAGAAACCATTCGCTGCCCCTCCAAAAGTCCCACATTCTTTTTTTTTTTTTTTTTTAAATAGATGACCAGTAAGGGGATCTGAACCCTCGATTTTGGTGTTGTCAGCACCACACTCTCCCAAGTGAGCTAACCGGCCATCCCTATATAGGGATCTGAACCCGTGGCCTTGGTGTTATCAGCACCACAGTCTGTGATGAGCCACAGACTGGCCCCAAAAGTCCCACATTCTGACACCATGACACCACGACTTCCTTAAATGTTTTTGGAGAGGTAGCTTACTGCAGTCTGGGTATATCTCCACATGCAGGTGAGCACGGAGGTGAATGGATAGTAACATTTAGAAGTGTGTCGCCCATCACATCCCAACTCAGAAACAAGACTCTGCGTAAGAGGGGCCTTTGACCACCACTGTTTTTAAACCCTCACTCTCTACCTACTACTTGACAATGGAAAAACTTCCACCTCATCAATGTTAATTATCAATTTTGTGCAGGGCATGATGCTAGATCCTACATGGTTTAAAAGGCACAGCTCCTGTCCTCTGAGAAGTCCCTGTCTGGATGAGTAGAGATGCAGTCAGGTGTGACAGGCAAAGAGGCACGTGCTAGGTCAGAGAGGAGACCACAGAGAGACTAGGAAGAGCAATGCACATCTCAAGCCACTCCAGCTGCCACACAGGCCCCAGAACCGAGTGTGTGTGTGTCTGTGTGTGCATGTATGCCCCCAGCACTGGGCATCCTGGACCAACTCCCATCCACATTTCCCTGTGCTGCAGGTGAAGATGCCTTCTAAAAAGTTTGCACACATCCCCGTCTACACACTGGGCCTTGAGAGTCCTCAGAGGGTGTCAACCGCCAGAGCCACGCCAGCACAGAGAAGAGCCTTCCAGTGCGTTGCTTTGCCTTGCCGCGATGTCACTGTGGTGCTTGGGTGTTAACAGTGACCTGGGGATGGCTTCATCTGTTTGCTGGGATGCCCCTGAGGAAGTAGAAATCCAAGGCCGCTGTCTATGACGCAGATCACTTTGCAGGCTCTGGGAGGCTAGGTAGCGTGAGATGGAAACTGGACCTGAGTGGATAGGGCCCAGGACTCAAGTTCCTGTCAAGGAGGAGCCTTTGCTGGGATGAACTTGTCTAGGCATGTTCATTCCAAAAACCCATATGAATGCCTGATGCCTGATAGTGAAGGAGAGGGGACTGCAGGGCAGCTTGGTGGGGGTGCTGTGGACATAGAGAAATGGGTGGATCTGGAATTCCAGAGGGGCATGGGTAGGGGGATCTTGTACCCTGGCTGGTTCTTCTCCCTGACAGCCCTCTCTTGCCTCCCCTCCTCCCCTGTCCCAGATCCCTGCAGGGGCCACAGTGGCGGAGTGTGGAGGAGGAGTTCCCCCACATCTACACCCATGGCTGTGTACTGAAGGACATTTGCAGCGACTGCACCAGCTTCGTAGCTGACGTGGTGCAATCCAGTCTCAAGAGCATGGACGTCCTCAACACCACACCACACCGCAGCCGCCAGACTCAGTCGCTCTACATCCCTAACACCAGGACTCTAGACTTCAAGTGACGGCCCAAGTGGCCAGGCCTTGGGGGAGGAGCCAGGCTTGGTCCTGCACAAGGCTGGACAGGCACAGGCTCTTGTCTTGGGGTACAGCCACCACACTCCCGAGCTGTGCATGTACATATATACATATATAGATACATTTATATAATATATACACAGCCTATATATTTATATACATTGTTTCCCGGCCCAGGGTTCATTTGGGGTCAGGCTCATTCCAGGACGCTTAGTGGGGAAGGATGTTTCTTTTCAGGCTCCCTTGGGGGGCACGGAGGAGGGAAGAGAGGAATGGGTTTTCTAACTGAGGTGCAGGCTCCCCCACCATGTCTACTGCAATCCCCAGGAACGAGAACACAGCAGCTTCCCCTCCCTAGTGGACGTCCAGGTTGGGACAGGGCACCTTGGTTCCCAGGTGGGCCACAGCACCCTGCTTGCCTCTGCACTCACTCTGTGGGGACTTGGGCAACAGGGGCACCTAGCAGGTACCTGAGCCCCAGCCCTCGTGCCGCCCCACTCTGGTGCTGCTGGTGTATCCTCACTCATCGTCGCAGTGGTCCCATCATGGGGGAGCAGCTCTGTAAACTTGTATACATGGCCACTCGGCCTAATAAAGGTGGTCTCACAGTCTTCCATCTGGCGTGTACTGAGGATTTACCTGGCTACAGCAGTGGGTACATTCTCCCAAGGCTGAAGCTGGGCTCTGAGGGGCCACTTGCTCTCCAGGACCAGGAAAGGCCTGCCCGCTTGGCACGAGACAAAGGTGCCCAGATCCTCTTGTACCCACAAAGCCCTGGTCAGCTTCTCTACCGACTTCTTGATCCTGGCCATCTCCTGACCATCAGGTCTGCACGTGACTTGGTCATCTGCTCTGACTGCACCGGGCCTGCCTGGAGTACCCTTTAGTCTCATTTCCCAGAACTCTATTCCTGTTCTCCAGGAGATGTTTCACTTGAGTTTCACAGGGCTGGAGGTGCCATATCAGCAGGCTCCAGGTGGGCCCTGTGCTTAGCCCTCTGCCTGCTCACCTGTACCCAGGAAGTGGGTGCTGTCATTATTCCACCTTAAAGGTGAGGAACTTGGCCAAAGACACACAGCTCACCCAGTAGCATGCTGGGACCTCAGCTGAGGCTCTAGCACCTGCCACGGGGCTGCAGGAGGTCCTTAAGGGATATGACTTGTGACAGATGGGCCTGTGGGAGAGAATCCTCTCATCAGCTGTGGTCCAGGAAATTCACATACACAAAACTAGAGCAGCCAATGAAAATAGCCAGCTCTCAGCACTTGCACGAGCACTTCACAGACTCCCCGTCCCTATATTTTTATTCCCATTTAAAAATAAGAAAACAGGCACAAAGAGGGCCAGGAGTTGCCCTGGTCACACAGCCAGCATTAAGGCTGTCCCTACGGCACTCTGTGGGCAGACTCTCCTGGGAGGTAACTACTGTTGTCCATATTCTCCCAATTCTACAGATATGGAAACAGGTGCCACGGCAACACATTCAGGCTCGCGCCCCAATCACAGGGAGACCTGGGGTCTAATCCACAAGAGAACTCTTGGAAATGAAGGCCCATGTGACAACAGAATAAAACACATCCTGGGAATGGCTGGGCTGAGGTGAGGGACAACGCCTCAGGGGCTGCCCAGCCCCATGCGGAGCTGCCTCCCAGGGCTGCTGGGGCGGGTGAGGCAGAGGCTTCTGTCTCTTGCTGCCTTCCCCTCGGGGCTGCCCTTATGACTGGTGGGCTCGCCTTTCTCCCCAACCCCAGGTACAGGAAGCTGTGTAATCAGCCACTGAACTGAGACCTGCCTTGGCCTCACCTGCTTTAGGTCTTGACAAATGGAGTTTGTTATTTTAGAGCTGTTTAAAACCAAACTTTATTGGCTGAGGACAGACCTTCAGCAGTACAGGAGAAACTCATGTTTGGAGTTCCCTGTTCAGAGAAGACACTGTTCAAGTTGGGCCTGATGTATCCCTGACAGTGTACACAGCCTGTCTTGGGAAGGGGAGAGCTGCTTCAGACCGAGACCTCCTCTCTACCCCCCCCCCCCCCCCCC